TCCTGTTCATTGAGATTCCAGAGGAAACCTCTTTAGCCTTTTATCCTTGGTAAATTTTACATTATGTGAACCTATTAAAATTTACAATGGTATAAACAAATTCCCATAGCAGTATGTCCTTTGTTGAACTAAAAGACCTGACAAACCAATTAAGCATCTGGAACCTCAATACCAACAGAGTGACCAATTTGTCCTGGTACAAAAGGAGAACCATCTAGGGCCAGCTAATGACCTAGCAGCTAAGGCAGCTGGATCCCACATGCCTGACAAAGAGTCCTAGGCCCAATGCCTTCAACAACATGCTGGGTTTACATGCACATATTCCCAGAATTCCAGCATGAGAAATGGAGGAAAAGGGGTTAGTGCGTAACCAGATGCTATGGAGGTAATTGCTCTCTCACTCCACCACATCCCCTGCCCAGTTCCAGTAAACACATGTGCTCTCAGATAAATTTTTCAAAAAGGAACCATCTTGATGTTGGTGACAAATTTAAAAGACTTCAGACTCAAAAAGATACCAAAATTAAGAGGAAAAAAAAGTAAACAAAAATGATTACTAAGTAGCAAATAATATAGTATTTGTCATAAAGAAGCTTAATTCTCTGGTGAGCCTGAAATTACTTTATTAAAGTAATGTTATAGTATTTTTCAGTAAAGGAAAAATCAACATTTCAAGGGAAAAAAATCATAGAAATATAACAAGCAAAAAAGAGTTAGGGAAAAAAAAATCACTATAATTGTCAGAAATATGAATACTTGATCAGTGAGACTTGGCTGGACAAAGACCTGGGCTAAAAGAAAAGATTGGGTGTATATTAGTGTGTGTTTTGTTTTGCTCTGAATATTGTCCTGTTATACAGTAAATAAAAAAATATGAAATAAAGTTGAATTACAGGAATAATGCATTGGTAAGGAATAAGACCTCAGGGGCCAGCAAATGGCATAGTGGTTAAGGTGCTGGACTCCCACCTAGCTAACCACAGAGTCCCAGACTTGGCAGCCTCAAACTCAGACTGGACTTGTATGCCCAAAATTCCAGGTGATTTCTGTCTCTCTCCGGCAAACACATGTGCTTTATTGTAAAAATCACTCGGGGAGGTGGGGGGGATGTGACCTCTGTGCTCAGGACTGGAATTCCCACACAGCTTACTGTGTTCAAATCCCGGATCTGGTGGGTTAAAATCATGCGGGGCTCATGTACTTGCCTGCCTAAAATTCTAGAATGCAGGAAAAGGGACTGCAGTATGGCCATCCCCACCAGGAGCTAATTTCTCATTGTCTCTCTAGTGAGCCATATACCCTACGGTACATTTTCAAAAAAATGACAGGACCAGCAGATGACATAATGGTTACGTCACTGGACTCTGACGTAGCAGACCACGGTTTGAGTCCTAGACCCAGCAGTTTAAACTTGGGCCAGGCACGTGTGCATGCAAGAGGAGAATGGAGAAGGGATTGCAGTATGGCCATCCCCCCCAAGGGATGATTTCTTGCCTTCTGTCCATCTCTGTCTTTCTGGCAAGTATACACGCCCTATAGCAAAAACCTCTCAAGAAAAAAATAAATGACTTCTGAAGATAGTTTTCTAGAATTGAAATCATAATTCTACAATGTATGAGCTGTGCAGCTTCAGGTAAGTCACCATGGGTTAAACAGCTGTATCTACTTCATGTGCTTCTTGGGAAGATTAAATGTGTACAGTGTTTCTAACAGTACCTAGCACATTGTGAAGGGTAAACAAATGTTAGAAAAGAAAGCCTGAATAAGGACAGCTTGTCTATAATAGTAACTTAAAATATATATATACATATATATATACACATACATATATGTATACACACTAGTTTCTCTTAGTTAAATATGCTTCTGAGAATCCAGTTAGTTGTACATTGTACTAGCTAGAGCAGTTTATGAATACTGTAAGAACTAAATGCCTAGAGCTCTGACTACATAATTGAAAGAAGACACATACCAATTAAGATCCCTATGGTCATAAGCATCTAAGTTTTGGAAACTCAGGCTACGAAAATATCAACAAAGACATTTAGAACTTAGTTTCCTCATCTGTCAGTTGGGCTCAATACCTATTTTGAGGTTCTTGTTACAGTTAAATAAAGTACATTAGTTGCCCAATGATATACCTAGAACCTACAGGCACCCCAGAGATGGTTATCTGTCATTCACATTCTCAGCACAAAATCCCATTTTGACCTAAAAACTTTTCTTCCCCATCTTATGAAGCAATTGACCACTTACTGCTACAAACTACATTATTAAAAGTATAAATGCTTCCTCCATCTTGTAAATCCAAAGTCTTACACACATAAAGTGCTTGTCTATCATTTTATACTACAATAAAGGATACAGTGACCATGTACCTAATTCACATTTATCCCAATATTCTCATTACTTTCATTAACAAAAAGGTTAAGCTGAGGTAATGAGTAGGTTTCACGTTACATGCCAACTCTACCTGATTACTCTACCTGATGACTCCTAAAATGTAATGCTAAGAAGCAATTTGAGGTATACAGGCTCAGCGATAAAAAACACGAAGCCATTCACCAATGAATTCCAGAGTATAAGAAAGAGTATACATGCAAGCATAAAGGGGAGTACAAAGGACAGAGTGATACTGTGTTTGCATGTGTGCAGTGTGTCTGTGTGTGTGCACGTACACACACACACACACATGCATATTTTCCTTACCTGAAATATCTGCATTGTTTAGATGCTGTTAATAACACCGATTAAAGGTACATGTGTCGAGTATTGTTCTATACAGTTGACAATCATCTTTACTCCCTTAATCTTCACAGCAACCCTACACAGAAAGCTATTCATTTTATACACCTTCATTAATGTATAGTGAATGGAGTCAAAATTTGAACCTAAGAACTTTGGCTCCAAAGATATTTTTAACCAATATTTTACACCATCAAGAATGTAACACAACTTAAGTTGGTGAATATAGGTTTCATACTACCTAGGAACATAGAATTTATAGTGAGATCTCTGCGTTCAGCATCTTTCTGCCAGTCAGTTGTGAATTCTACCTCGGCATGTCTTCCATCAGTAACAACATCAATCCGCAGCGTAGTAATTTCAAAATTTTCTTCGTGAAGCTGCAATTAAATACATGTCTTTTAAAAATGTAGTTTTTACTATCAACAAATAGAAAACAAAATTTGTCTTTACTAAGGTATGGTACTAGAATAATTTATGTCATGTGTCTTTCTGGAAACAACCAGCATACATCTTGAAACAGAAAGGTACCTACCCACAATATTCAAAAACAGATCAAAGAATTTTAAAGTTGTTTAGAAAGTTTAATAAGAAAAAAGGAACAAGGGATAGATACCCTCCTTGAGGTTTTGCCATGCCATGATACCTCTCCCAGCCTAATTACCAGCCAGGATAAGATCATGTGCAAGCCCAGGAGTAGGCTTAGCATGTTCAGGGAGACCCAAGATTCAAACCCAAGGCTTCCGCATATGAGTCCAACACTGTGCAGCAGCACTCCACCACCTGCAGCTAGGCTAAGAATTTTTTTTCTAAATACCTATTAAATTATAACAGATGAGTTTCACATACACACCAACTCTGACAAGTGATGTGACAGAAGAGAGGAGCCCTTAAAAGTATATTCTGGTTCTTCAATTGCAAATCAGGAAACTCAGATATTTTTAATAGCTCCAGTTTGCAAAAAGAGTATTAATGTATGGAATATATACCTTTAAGCAAAGGACTGATAATGAACCCTACAACTCCTTTACTGGTACTCTCCAGTGAAGCTACAGTGCTACATGTATCTTGGGAACAAATGGTTACTTCCAACTAGGAAAGCTGAGTAGCTTCATCACACAGTAACATCTGAATTGACCTTTAAAAATTAGTATCTCAAGGCCAGCCCCTGGTGTGGTGACTCAGGGCAGCTGGATTCTACATGGCTGACTGTGCGGTTTTGAGTCCTAGACATAGTGGCCGTTTAGAGTCCTGGACATGGTGGCTTGAAAAACATGTGCACCCAAAAATCCTAGGACAATGGAAAAGAGACTGTGGCATGTCAACAGTCTCTAGGGTGTGATTTGTCACTTCTCCCCCTCTTTCTCTCTGATTAGTGCATTTGCCCTATATCAAAAAACTAAGAAAGGTGGGAACCAGCAGTTAGTATAATGGCTATGTTGCTGGACTCCCACGTAGTCGACCGCAGTTCGCGTCTCGGACCCAGTGGCTTAAAACTCATGCCGGGCGCGTGTGCATGCATGCCCAACATCCCGAGAGGAGAATGGAAGAGAAGGGACTGCGGCGTAACCATTCCCTCTGGGGGGTGATTTCTCGCTTTCTGTCTCTATGTCTGTCTCTGTCTGTCTGGCGAACGCACGCGCCCTATAGGGAAAACCTCTCCAAAAAAAAAAAAAAAACTAAAAAAGGTGTATCTGTGCATGCTGGTGGAGGAGAAGAGCATTTCCATCGAAAAGAAAAGGCACAGTGGAATCACACACAATCACACCCCCCAACATATATAATCCATCAGCATTTAGGGGTAGATAGTAAAATACTTCACATGTAAGCAGGAGTTTGGAGTCTCTTCATGAAGTACAAGCCACTAATAATCGCTAATAGTCCATTCTCGGGTTCCTCTCTATTTCCTACATACTTTTCTCTACATACAAGCTACGTATTCTCCTATATATAATTCCACAGACACAAGTGGAACACTGTATAATTTCAGATACAAGTGTATCTGACAGCCAAGTAAAAATCTAGGAAAGATTCAGACACCCTACCCCACCCCCAGAATGCTTCCATTACTCAAGCAGAAAACTAAAGATTAACTCTTAAAACGCTGAACCCAAAGTAATCAACTTGGTGAACCAAACACAGATCATCACAGGAAAAACGCATCACAATGAAAACAAGTCTCAGTAAAAGTCTACTTGACCCCTTATTCCACTTTGTTTGCAAATGCTAACAAGCCTATTTCCTAGCAAAATCTGAGAATTCCTCTCTGATTTCTCCTAATTAAAAGTCTTACTGATATTGACGCACTTATTGGGACCTCACAGCTAAATGGCCGACACTTCCCAGGCACAACTACAATGAAGCCCTCAAGTCATTCTGCTAACACTTACAACTTTGCCCAAATATGGAGAGAGGCCCCTATATCTAAGCAAAGCCCACAGGAAAGTCACTAAAAGGAAACAAAGACACCATCAAGAAAGCTATAGTGATAGTGTAAAGAGAAATAAGAGAACATACTGCATCTGAAACAAAAGGAGGAAGCCTTCCAAAGAAAAAAATCTAAGACTTCTTGAAAACTGAAGAGACTGCAATGCAAACAGAACAGTAAAGTTTGAAAATCAGATTTAGGCATTTTCTTTGGAAGTAAAGTAAAAGACATGGGGAAAGAAAACAAAAGATAAGACTAGATCAGTCCAAAATACAGATAATAGGATTCTCCAAAGGAGACCTTTAACAAAGTGGATGGATAAAAGAAACACATGAGGGCCTGTCGTAGGCAGGTAGCTAGTAATGAGTGGACAGCCCTAAGAAAACAGTGGAACACTTGTCACATCAATCACAACTTCTCATGAATTAACAACCAGACCCTCTATGAAAAGGCGTTCTTCCCACCCAGCTCCTGGCACCAGAAAGGTGAGGCAATTCTCATTTTTCTTCCTTGGTACCTGAGGAAGACACAAGGGATGACGGTAAATATAAAGTTTCCTCTATTCCTCATAAACACAAGAAGACCCAAACAGACATTTTGGTCAACATCCTGATTTCGCACTGAAGCAATAACCTAATTGGGTAGTTCATCCTAATTAGGATGCCCCTATCATCATGGCTCACACTGGGCATGCGCAGTTAGGTAACCAAATTGCTCAAATTCTTCACCTATGAGAGAAGAGCAAGTGCAGGATAAAGCCTGAGAATGCAAAAAAATAACACAGATAGTGTAATAGACCTCCACTGTTAAATATTCATTATCACCTCTGGTAATAAAAATAATACCTAACCAGTTTAAAATGCAGTTGCCACCTAGCAACCTGTCCACCCAAAAGCCTTTTGGGTGTACTTCTTTTTAAAATCTTTCTTTCCTTTTAAATTCTCTTTTCTACCTACTTTTATTGTGGTTCTGGCTTTATTTCGTGCCTAGGGACAGGGCTCTGATTTCAGTAATCTGGACCCAAAGGATCAAGAATTTTACACAGTGCAGCTCACCACTCCCCCACCCTATGACAGGCCTACTAAGTACCCTGCATAAGAAATGAAAAAATAAATCCAAACAAGGTACACTGCTTTAAACTTAAAACACCGGAGATAACAACAGAGAAATCTAAATGGGATCAAACTTCTCAGTGGCAGTACTGGGAGCTAGAAAACAAAACTTTCAAATTTCTAAGTGAAAAAATACTACCTTTGAATTTCATAGCCAAAAAAAATCTATCAATCCAGTGTGTAAGCAAAATAAAATTATTTTCAGACAGGTAAACGTTTTCAGGTTTTACACTATTAAAAGTGAGGGCATAAATAAACAGTGCCACATGGGATCCAAGAAACAGGAGGTACATAAAAGAAAAGAGAAGCCAAGAAAATTTCTAGAAAGCATATACTAACACAGGAAGACAGCATCAGGTGAGATATCTAAGAAAAACAGAGCCGGCTCTAGAGTACAGTGATTAAAGAAGCCAGATTCCACATGGCCCAGACCCCTGTGGCTTAAAAAACATGCCAGGCTCATGTGTGCAGGCACCCAGGATCTTGACAGAAGGGAAAGATGAAGGAAAAAGACAGTGCTGTGACCATGCCCCATGCAGGAGTGGGAGGAGTGATTCTTCCTCTCTCTGTTTTCTCTGGCAAACTCACATGCCCTCTGGCAATTAAAAAAATATTAAATAGGGCCAGGGAGCGGTATGGTGCTTAAGGTGGCTGCATCCCACAAGGCTAACTGCACAATTCATAAACCCACACCAGGTGCATGTGTGTCCAGAATCCTATGTTGAGGGAGAAATTGAGAAGGACTGTGGTATGGCCATTCCTCATTGTGGGGAAGGCGGTAATACTTTCTGTCTTTCTGGTGAGTACATGCACCCTCTAGTAAATTAAAAATAAACAAACATACAAATAGATCTCAAATAGATCTTTAAAAACCAAAGAGAGAGGGACCAGCAGATAGCATAATGGTTACATCACTGGATTCCCACGTAGTTGACCACAGTTCAAGTCCTAGACCCAGTGGCTTGGAACTCATACTGGGCACATGTGTGTGTGTGTCCAAAATCCTGAGAGGAAAATGCAGAAGGTGGGACCAGCAGTTAGCGTAATGGCTATGTTGCTGAACTCCCACATAGTCGACCGCGGTCCGAGTCCCGGACCCAGTGGCTTAAACTCATGCCGGGCCCGTGTGTGTGCATGCCCAAGATCCCGAGAGGAGAATGGAGGGGAGGAGAAGGGATTGCGACGTGGTCATCCCCCCTGGGGGGTGATTTCTCACTTTCTGTCTCTGTCTGTCTGTCTGGCGAGCGCACGTGCCCTATAGCAAAAACCTCTCCAAAAAAAAAAAATGCAGAAGGGATTGCAATGTAGCCATCATCCCTGGGGGGTGTTTCTCACTTTCTGTCTGTCTGTCTCTGTCTCTCTCAGGTAAGCACACCTGCCCTCTAGCAAAAATCTCTATTAAAAAATGAAGGAAAAAAACCTAAAACTCAAAGTATTTAAATCTCTACAGTTCTGACACTGTGTGGATCAATTAGTGGGACATGGAGAGCTGTGCAAAAGAAAAATGCTATTAACTGCAGGAAAAAAAAGTAACAGAAATGTAATCATAATGTACTTCATAGTCCATCTGTAAACAGTATCAAATTATAAATGTGAATCCCAATGATGATCTGACCAAAAATTAAGGAAAAGGATAATGATCTGTGCTTCCTGTTGAGAAGGGTTGTGGTAAGAAAGTTAGAATATCTCCTATAGGAAGTCAATATAACATACCTTAAAGCCGGGAAATTAAAAACGAACATAGAGATAACAGATATCATAAAAATTAGCTAAGAGTGATGGCAACAAGGACGACATGGGGTTTAAGGGGGGTAGAGAAGACTGATTATTAGGCTTTTTGTTGTTTGCTTTTGTTAAACTTAAAAAAAAAAATTTAATTACAAAAAAGGCACTGTAATCATCTAAGGGCCCAACTTTCACTCACCCTGGCAGTGATCGTTCCATGTTTTTCTCCTTTGTTGTTGATCATCCGAATCCCAGCTGCCTGAAACATGTCCTTCATCTGTGTAGGGGTAGCAGTGGTAGCAAAATCCACATCCTGAGGCTTCACTCCATTTAATAAATCCCTCACTGCTCCTCCTGCTATTCTTAATTCATGGTTCTCTTTGACAAATAATTCTGAGAGGACACAAAGATTTTCTTTTTTTACTTCAGTGTGTTTAAGAATCACTAAAGTACAAGGTTTTCAGTCTTTTAGGGATAAGGGATCTCATTCCATGCAGTCCTTTCATATAAAAAAATGAGAACACAGCCTACAGAAGTAAAATGACTTGCCTACACTGGAATGCCTCTAAGAACTGGAGGAAACAAGGAACTTGCCAAACTTTTTCTTTGCTGATTTTGAAGACAATTCAGAATTCCCTAATGCCTTAACATTAATTACATCATTAACATAAATCTGAATTAATACCAATGTGTAAACCCACTAATTGTGCTTTCTTTTTCCAGCCTATGTACACACTTTCTAAAATGGTCTAAGTGTAAAGTCGCATGCAGTTAAAACTCTTCTGATCACCACCTGGTGTCACTCCATGCCTGACAAGGAACCAAGGCCAGATCTCTGCAGACCTGGCCTTAACAGGGGCCCATAGTCCAAACTGCTACTGCAAGGGCACACTGATCCAGGGAGTAGTATACAGTGACACAAAGCAAGTACTGAGAGGTCTAACTCCCCAGAGATAGAACCAACAATAAATCATGAAATTTTTCATGTATGCTTCCCCCACTGTACCTAACTCCACTGAATATCAGTCATACATACAGTCTCCAAGAATAGTTTGATTGTCCTATAAAGGGATCCCCCCTTTCCTTGGAGGGCAGCCTAAAGCACCTCCCACTTCAAACACCTAGGCACTCTTTCTCTCAATAACCTTTCCTTTTTCTCTTGAAATGACTGCCTCCTGAGTCTTACTACAAACCATAACAGAAAGTATTTATTTCGCTTTCTGAACAGATGTTTCGCATGCAGTTAAAACTCTTCTGATCACCACCTGGTGTCACTCCATGCCTGACAAGGAACCAAGGCCAGATCTCTGCAGACCTGGCCTTAACAGGGGCCCATAGTCCAAACTGCTACTGCAAGGGCACACTGATCCAGGGAGTAGTATACAGTGACACAAAGCAAGTACTGAGAGGTCTAACTCCCCAGAGATAGAACCAACAATAAATCATGAAATTTTTCATGTATGCTTCCCCCACTGTACCTAACTCCACTGAATATCAGTCATACATACAGTCTCCAAGAATAGTTTGATTGTCCTATAAAGGGATCCCCCCTTTCCTTGGAGGGCAGCCTAAAGCACCTCCCACTTCAAACACCTAGGCACTCTTTCTCTCAATAACCTTTCCTTTTTCTCTTGAAATGACTGCCTCCTGAGTCTTACTACAAACCATAACAGAAAGTATTTATTTCGCTTTCTGAACAGATGTTGAAGCAGTATGCTCATGCATAAATCTATGAACTTTCAGACACTAGTCTATCTTACCACTCATGCTACAGCTAAGAATCCTCCAGAAACAATCTACATAAGATGTTTAAAATGAACTCATCTACGGACCAGCAGGTGGCATGGCAGTTGAAGCACTGAACTCCCATGTGGCCAAACAAGGTTCAAGTCCTGGACTTGGCGGCTTGTTCTCTCACTTTCCCTCTCTTTCTATCTGGTGAGTACATGTGCACTATACCAAATTAAGAAAATAACGATAAATAAAATTAAATAAGTAATTCTAAAGGAAAAATATAAACCTCTTTTCTAGGTAGCACATATGAAAACTATAACTACTAGACACATGTACAGCTGACTCCACTATGATACAAGGCTCAATCCACCACAACTGGGAACTGAAAACTGGGCCCAGCCAAAGTCATATGGCTAGATGCTGCTGCCTGGCAGGACAAGGCCACATGGGAGACCTAGGTTGGATTCCCAGCTCACATACATATATACATACATAAGCCAGCCAGCCAGCCAGGCCAGCACCTGTGGGCCTAGCTACTTGTAAAACTGAGGCAGGAGGATCATGACAGTAAGATCCTGTCTAATATACACACACATACACAACACTAAAAATATTAATATATAGATTTGAGAACTGCTACAGGAAGACTTAAACCACATATATCACAAGAGCCATCACACAGACTTCATGTTTTTGTGAACTTTGCTTTACCAAGGGCAACTAAGTCTTTAGAAATAACCACAATCAAATAAAAAGAAAATTCAACTTTCCACCTATTGACCATTACACTAAAAGATTCCATCTGGATACTTCTACCATAGCCTAGAAAGTGTCACTTTAGAATGTGCCATGCTCTCATGTGACAGTCTTCAAAGACAGGACCTGGACACCACCACTCCCTCTATTTTACCATACTATTCAGTCACTGGAAAAATCATGACGTGTTTTTCTATGCAAAAATGTATCGTGATTTTCCCAACAACCCAGTATCTAGGTTCTGACTTCCTTAAGGCTTCCTCCCTTGGGAAAGAGAAAATTCGGCTCTTAACATCAAGGGTAGTAAACCAATTATTATAGTCTAAAAAAAAAAAAAATCCAAAGCCATGTGTCCAAGAAAATGATGAATGATCCGAGATAAGTTACCAGGAGTTAAAGTAATCTTTTTTCTAAGAAGCCTCTTGCAATTAAGAGTGGGAAGACTGAGTGCTGGGAAGGGCCTATAAAAAGATAAAAGCTCAAATTCAAACTAAAATTGGAGCTTCTAGATCTGTGCTGTTCACACACAGAAGCAACTGGCCATTTGTGGATACTGAGCACCTGAAAGGTAGGGATTCTTAATTGAAATGTGTTATACACATTAAACACACAGAAACAAAGGTTTTGAAGATTTACAATAAAAAACTATTTTTACATAAATTTCATATTGAGATAATAGTATCTTAGATGTACTGAATAAAATGTACTGAAAATAATTACAATTTTCACCTATTTCTAGCTTTTCAATATGATCTGAAGTTTATATTTCACATGGATTCTCAGCTCACATACATACATAATTTATATTTCTATTTGACAGTTAAATATGTAGCATTTTTCACTGTCCAATTAAAGTCACAGAGAAGCATCAGCACATCCATACTTGCTTAAGTAAGACCTCTCCTTCAAGATCACCCAAACCAACCAATGAGTTCTGGACCTCTGATTTGTCCCTAAAAAGTCATCAGTAATTTCAAGAACGGGAAAGCAGTTTGGGGAATAAGATAACATAAGGAGTCATTCTAAAGAGATGGCTACTCCATCTTCTGTGCTTCAGAGTTAACCTACGGCCAGCCAGGCAAGTCTCGTGCCACAATGGTTAAGTGCTGTACATAGCAAGCCTGCGCTCACACAGTTCAAATCCCAGCCCTTGTGACTTGAAAACCATGCCAGGCACATATATGTACATGTCCCAAATCCTGAAGGGACGGAGAAATGGGGTGGGGGGAAGATTGTGCATGATCACACCCCATTAAAGGGTGTTTACTCTTTCTCTTAATTTGAGTGCACATGTCCTCTGGTGACTTAAAAAAAAAAAAAGGATTTATGGCGTTCTTATTAAAAATACACACTCCTTCCAGAGATTCCAGTTCAGGGCTGGCCCCATAGTGCCACATTTTAAGTGTTGTACATAGAAAGCCAAATACTACATGGCCAAATGCAGTTTGAATCCCAGCACAAGCAGCGTGAAAAAACAAAACAAAACAAAAAAAACACCCAGTACATGTGTGTCCACCCAAAATCCTCAATGGGGTGAAGAAATGAAGAAAAAGCATTGCAGCATGATCATGCTCCATGGGGGTGGGGGGATGGCCATGTGTTTTCTCCCTCTCTTCTAGCAAATTAAAAGAGACAGACAGAGACATTCCAACTCAGTAGGCTGGAGTTAGAACCTGAGTGTGTCTCTGACTGTCTCTGTCTCTCTCTCTCTATATATATATATATTTAAAGAAATATTCAACTTTATTTATTTATTTAAATGTGACCAAAGAGGGACAGAGTGACTGAGAGAAAGGGAAAGTGAGAAAGCAAGTCATCAAGTCTGGTACTCAAACCGTTGTCAGCCATGTGGGAGTCCAGTGCCCTTAACCACATCATCACCTGCCGGCCCCGCATCTATGTATTTTAAAAGTTCCCCAGGCAAATCTAACAGACAGCCAGCATTGAGGAGCACCATACAGCTTGTGTTCCAACATCCATACAGCTTAACCTATTTCTGAATATGCCACAAAAAGTCCCAAAGGCTTTGAAATGCAGCTGAGTGGCCGCTTCAGCAACATCTATAACTAGCATTAAGGACTTATACTGATCAATAGAAAGAGGCTACACTAGGCAGGCACTTTGTTAGCTTAAGTCATTTCCTGCTTTTCTCCACATAAGTTTTGCACGTACACAAATGGAGGTAACTATTATTTCTTTCAACTGCTCACAATTAGAAGGATCAATATTGTAATGTATGGAAAGTACTCAGCACGCCACACAGAAAAGCCATGATATGCTTTCTTCTAGTCAATTTTTGCATCTTCTAGTGACTTGGCTATAGTTTTGCACCATTAGTAAGCCTGCTTTTCATTAGCTTGATAACAATGTTAGCCAAGCAAATGTTGTCCTTCTGTTTCTCCATTTCTACAAGCTTCCAAAGCAAGAAAAGCCATCCTAATCTCTCACTAATTCATGGTTCTCTTTGACAAATAATTCTGTCACATTCTTCAATCCTTCTGTGAAGAGAGATTGGAATTCTGGAGATTGTAACTTCATTGTAAACAGATATTGCTTCAGAAGGCACAGCCTACTGCATCTACAGCTGAGTATGGGCCTATGCCAAGAATACAGGTACCTCAGCATCTGGAGAGAAGGTCAGGACCACACATCTACAAGGCAAACAGGCGTGCACGCCAATGAAGATTTAACCGTGAAGGAAAACAAAGGAACACAGTGCAATTTTATTAATAAACAGAGGAATACCAACTCCCGTTCGGACAAAGTGACAAGTTGAGGGAGTCACATAACTCGATGTATGTTTGTAGCTTCCTGATTTGGCACTCCCAAGCACTCACTACTATAGCCATACAACAGGTTTTCCTCTCAAGACTCTCTCTCGAGAGGCAGGCTTTAGATACAGCTAGGGGCAGGGGCAACCACCAACAGTAGTCCCAACCGGGAGACTCGCTGGAACACCTGGTCTCTAGAACACGTCAAGGCCGTAGGTGGATCTCATTCCACTTCCCCAACCGCACCTACAATGTACCGACTCAGGGGTATTTCCTGGGACTTGTTAAAAAAAAAAAAAAATTCATTTCCCCATGACGTAGCTTTACTATCCGCAGTGCCCTCATCCCTTTCCTCCCACCATACTCTGCCTTTCTCCATAATCAAACCCCGTTTGCCCCGTCAGGCGGGCCCTCCTGGGAAGCGACGGGAACTACAGAAGCACGCACCCCTGGGAAGCCGGCACTGGAGCAGCGCTTCCCGCCGGGGGGCGCGATCCCCCACTCCAGGCCAGAAGCTGAGGAGAGACCGGCTCCAACTCCTTCCACCTCCGCCTCAGTTCAGGGAAAGCCCGCAGGGAGGGCGCGATCCCTCCTCCACACACACCGAATGCTCGTTAAGGGCCTAGAGAGAAACACCCGGGCTGGCCGCCAAGACGCGAACGTCCGCGGTCACGACCTCCACGTGGTGTTCTTTCGCCAGCTGCGGAGACCTCTTGCCACATCCCGCTCCCACCAGCCCCAGGACCCAGGCTAACCGCAATAGCGTGAACCGCGCGGGGAAAGTAAATGGGAAGACGGCCGCCGCTCAGACAGCGCCGCGGGTTCCATCACCCTCAGAACCCCGCGCGCCCGCTTACCGTCCCCGTGCCGCCCCTGCCGCGCACTTCCGGGACTGTGAACGTGGTGGCGTCACCGACGCAGGTCGGTCGGTAACGAATAGAAAGTCGCGGTGGGACATGGGCGGAGCCTGGGAGCGCTTCCCCGCCCTCCCCTCCTCTTAGCTGACAAGCGCAGACAGAGGTTTCTGGAGCCTCGTAGGCTAGGGCGGCCCTAGAGTAGGGTACTCTCCGCCACGTGTTACAACTTACGCTGTTGGGCACTCCCACAACACCAACGTTTGTGTTGTTTAGGAAAAAAGGAACGTCCTTGTTACACTGACCAAGAAAAGAAGAGAAAAAAGGATAGCATTACAGATAAGAGTCTTTAAAAAGTTAACGGATAATATGTTAGGAAAAAAACATGCATGGGTTTCACTTATTGTTTTGGTACCAGAATAAAGTACTTTAATTCCATTTTCCCTGAATGTTCTGAAGTTCCATAAGGCAGACATTAGCAAGATAATAAGGCAGCATTACGAACAATTTTATGCCAATTAATTTCACCATATACGGCCAGCTCCTGACGAGCTGGCCATGAAAGCATTTGGATCCCTTGTTGCCAACTGTGCTGCTTGCCTGAGGACTCTGAAAAACACACAGGGCCACCATTTTGAGCCGGCTGTAACCGGTTTGAGCATGTCAAGACCATTCTGAACCATCCAGAAACAGCCTGAACCAGTTTAACCTAAGTTTAAGCTTGTTAAAACCGGTTTGAACTAGTGTGAACTGTCCAAAACTGGCTTGAACAAGTTTAATCTCGTTAAAACCAGTGTGAGCCAGTTTGAACCAGCCACAGACTTAAAAAAAAGTTTGAACCAGTTTGAACCAGACTGAACTGGTTTTGACTAGCTAGAACTGTCTTGAGCTGGTATGAACTGGCAAGAACCAGTTTAAACCTGTTTGAACCAGTATAAACTGACCAGAACCAGTTAGAACCAGCTAGAGCTGGCTTCAACCTGTTTGAGCAGGCCAGAACTGGCTTAAACCAGCTTGAACTGGCCCTAAACAGTTTCAACCAGTTTGAACTGACCACAAACAGTTTGAACCGGTTTATGCTAGTTAAAGCTGGTTTGAGCCAGTTCGAACTGACCATAGCCAGTTTAAGCCAGTCAGAACCAGACCAAACTGGGTTGAACCGGTTTGAACTGGTCCAAGCTGGTTGGAACAGGCCAGAACCAGATTAAACTGGTTTAAGCTAGTTAAAACTGGTTTGAGTCCATTTGAACTAGCCACAACCAGTTTAAGACAGTCGGAACCAGACTGAACAGGCTTAGACTGGTTTGAACAGGCCCAAACCGGTTTGACCTGGCCAGAACCAGTTTGAACTGGTTTAAAATAGTTAAAACCAGTTTGAGCCAGTTTGAACTGGCCACAACCAGTTTAAGCTAGTCAGAACCAGACTGAACTGGCTTAAACCACTTTGAACTAGCACAAACCAGTTTGAACTGGCCAGAACCATCCTGAACTGGTTAAAATTGGTTTGAACTGGCCAAAACCAGTTTGAAGCAGTTGGCCCAAACCAGTTTGAACTGGCGAGGACCAGTTTGAACTAGTTTAAGCTGGTTAAAACTGGTTTGTGCAAGTTTGAACTGGCCAGAACTACTTTTAACTGGCCACAACCAGTTTGAATTGGCCTGAATCAGTTTTGACCAGTTTAAACTGGCCACTACCAGTTTGAGCTAGCCAAAACCTGCTTGAATCAGTCAGAACTGGTTTTAACTGGCTTGAACCTTCCAGAACCGGTTTGAACCACTGAGTACTCCGCCTTTGTACTGCCCCACATAAAGGCCCTGTGCCTGCAGTGCTCAAAAATCCCCAAAGGGGGGAACCAGCAAATAGTGTAATGGCTATGTCACTGGACTCCCACATAGTCGACCGCGGTTCGCGTCCCAGACCCGGTGGCTTAAAACTCACACCAGGCACGTGTGCGTGTGTGCCCAAGATCCTGAGAGGAGAATGGAGGAGAAGGGATTGTGGTGTGACCATACCCCCTGGGGTGTGATTTCTCGCTTTCTGTCTGTCTCTGTCTGTCTGGCAAGCGCATGCGCCCTATAGTGAAAAACCTCTCCAAAAAAAAGAAAAATCTCCAAAGGGGGGGAAATTGAGAAGGGCTTGCCTATGACCATTCCCCATGGGGGAGAAGGTAATTATTTTCTCTCTCCTTTCCTCTCACTCTCTCCCTCTCTCTTTCTCCAGGGGGTACATGTAACCTCTGGCAAATTTTCTTGTAAAAAATTGACAGTGTGGCTGAGATGAACACATTCTATAGAAAAGATCACTTAGAACGGAAAGAGAGAGAAGCAGATGTGTAGAGTGATTGTGAATGTAACGCTGCTTTAAGGCAGCGTGATCCCAGGTGCACCTGTGTCAGTTTCCTATGGCAGCTGCAACAAATTACCACTAACTCAGCGGCTTAAGCCACACACATTTCTCATCTCACAGACCTAGAGGTCAGAAATCTAAAAAGGGTCCAGAGCACTGCCTTCCTTCTCGAGGCACCTGGAAGCAAACTGCTCCGTTGCCTGCTCCAGCTCCTAGAGGCTCCCTTTCTCCAGATTCAAAGGCAGCACATCTTTTCTCTTGGGTTCCTCCTGCTCCCCTTTATAAGGACCTCAGTGAGGACATCAGGTCCATCTGGATAATGGACCATCTTCCATCAAAAGAGCTTCAGTTTAATCCCATCTGCCATATAAGGGTATAGGTTCATGGGGTCTGGGATTAGGGTGTGGGCATTTCGGGGGGCTATTACACAGCCCAGTGTAACTTCCAAGGGTCTGTTTTAGTAACGCAGTAAATGGTGAGACACAGGAATACCAAGGAATGTCATGTTATAGAAAACTGGGCTTCCCTGCAGCCTAGCAGTAAAGGAGCCAGATCTCACATGGCCAACAGCAGTTTGAAACCCCAGCTCCATGAGCCCCACCCCTGGAGCCTTGAAAAACATGCAGAGCACATTTGCAATGTGCCCCAAATCCTGACAAGAAGAAGAAATGGTAGAAAATAAATTGTGGTGTGACCACATCCCATCAGGGGTCTCTCTCTCCTCTCTCTCTCTCTCTCTCTCTCTCTCTGCCTGGTGAGTGCACACATCCTCTGGCAATTAAAAAAGAAAAAAAAATGCTCATTGGTCACCTTAGGACATTAGCTGCAACAACCTTGATACTGAATACTATTTTCCCTCCTTTCTGGATTTCTGGCAGATGGTTTATTTCAAGTAAAAATGTGGCTGAACAAAGGCAGACCCGTTCAAAGGTAGGATGCTCTGTCTCTAATCAGAGCTTTCACCCTATGCATCAACACCACACTCCTCACTCCAGGATATTCCCTTCATCTTCAGCCCTCCTCAATACAAAGAAACTTCAAAAAGCTGGGAAAATGGAAATAGAACTAAAGTACAAGTCATGGCCCAGCCTGACAGTGCAGTCAGGGAAAACTCAACTGCAGTGCTGGAAGCCACAAGATGACCGCAGGTTCAGATCCATCTGTCAACTTGAAAACATACCAGGGTGCCAGCAGATGGGGTGATGGTTACATCGCTAGACTCCCACGTGGACAACCATGGTTCAAGTCCCAGACACGGTGGCTTGAAATTCAGGCCAGGCACATGTGGATGTGTGCCCCAAATAACAGAAGGAGAAAGGATTGTGGCACACAATCACCTTGGGGAGTGATTTCTCACTTCCCCTCTCGCCATCTCTGTCTCTGTCTCTCTCTCCAATGAAAACATGCTCCCTAAGGCAAAAACCTTTTTAAAAAAGAAACGATAACATTTCAGGTACTTGCATATGAGCCCAAGAGCCTGACAAGGTAGGGGGCCCTAGAACGGCAATCACATCAAGAATTCTGCCCTCATTCTATCTCAAGCGTGTGTCTGCACACATATGTATTTTCTATTAATAAAATAAATATACTTTAGTAAATAAAACATAAGTTTATCTTGGTGTATAAAAATGATATCTATGGATAGCTCTCATAAAAATACAAATTTTCCACGAACTTTTTGAAGACCCCACCCCATCCTTGTATTAGGTCACAGGGACAGTCAGACATATTTTTCTATGCAAAAATGCATCATGACTTTCCTGATGACCCAATATATCACCCTTCCCAGAAGCAAATGCATTTTAAAATAGGACAGAGAAAGGAGAATAATGGTTTTTATAAATATATGAATTAATAATGATAGCACTTTGAGTCTCTTAGGGAAGATATTTGAGGCAGTATCAGATAAGTCAGAATAAAAACATAATTATAGCATAATTTCAATATACTCCAATTTAGGAGGGTTGGTTTCTGTCTTCTTTTACCCTCCCCAGCTCTGCTTTTTCTTTGTAAGTGACACTGAGTAATTTGTGTAGAAGAAATGTTGTTTCAAGAATATGTTTTCTTTGAAAGAGCAAAAAACACCTGTTTGAGGAAAAAGTCATTCACTAGTTTTGTTCTCATAAAAGTTTAATAGAAGCCAACTAAAGTTTAAGCTCTCCCAGAGGACAAATAAAGATATTTCTCAGCAAATGTAGAATCTCAATTTTCATTGGTGCTAGGGGATTTTACACACAAATGCAATTTTATTTTACATTTAAAAGAGGTAAGTAAATAGACAAATCAATTTTAGCTGCTCTGAAATTTCATATCGGGTCATTAATTTTAAAAGATGGGACTTCAATAATAGTTAAAAGAACAGAGGCCCGAGGGTAAAGACAGAGGATAATCACCTTCAAAATTCGGAATTATCAGTAGCCTCAGATCAGAACCAAGAGGAGTCCACACTCAGCTTCTTGTCTTCTTTCCACTGTATTTTTCCTCAATGTTTAGGCTCCTATGGAATATTCTCTTTTGCAAAACCGGAAACCTCTTCATTTCCTTAAA